TATACTTGTGCACTTATGTAGATATACAAATCATTAGTTTATTATTCTGTCTACAATCCACTAAAATCAGATTATCAGAAAAAAAAAAAGGGGGGGAAAAGGCTAATGAGAGTAATAATTAATAGAAAAGGCCAGAAAAAAAAAAGCAAATGAAAATAATTAATTATTTATTTATGTTAGTTTTGTCCATTTGTTAGTGTTGGAAAACAACTTTTAACCTCTTTTGGTTGTAATTGGTAACTTAAATTTCAATTAATTGCTTGGTCGGAATTTGACTGGGAATTGAAAACTAGGGTCCAAAATGGTGGCATAATGAAAATAAAAACATCTTTGAAGCCAATGAAGATAATTAAAAATTTTATTTACATATGCTAATTGCTCCATCTCCTTTCTTGATGTAAAATTTTAACATCCTTTGCTTGGAAATTGACTCGAAATTGGTAATTTATTAAATCTAAAATTTTTATGAATTTATGGCCCAGATTTTCTTTTGATTAACACGTGAAGAAGCACATGTTGATCTCCATTATTTATTACATTTTCAGCACCTTTTCTTAATGGCGGATGTTGTGGGCCCACTCCTTGAATTAGGAAAATGCATTGCCACTCCAACCTGCAACTATGTAGATCATTACAGGAAATTTGATGGTGATGTGAATGTGTTGAGAGACAAATTGGAGGATCTAAATGGACGAAAACAAGATATAGAAACAAGACTTAGAGTGGAGGTTCATGTGGAAGAAGTGGTGAAAGAAGAAGTGCAACTTTGGATCAAACGCGTGCAAACCATCAATGATGAAGTTCGAGTTGTTTTAGAAAAGGCACAGAGAGTAAAATGGTACAGAAAAGCTTGTCTTGGGAAACATGTTCGTAGAAAAATTGATGAGGTAGAAAAAATCCACGAACGAGGTAGTTTTACTGGAGGCCTTGTAATTGTTAGACCTCCAGGTCCTGGCAGCATAATTCCAACAGAGAATTTAGTGGGTGAAAGTTCTGCTAAAGGAAAAATTTGGGAGTACTTGATGGGTGATGAGGTTGGAATGATTGGAGTTTGTGGGGTTGGTGGAGTTGGTAAGACTACAATCATGAAGCATGTTAACAATGATTTGTTGAGGAAGGATAGGTTCCAAAAAGTGATTTGGGTTACTGTATCTTACCCTCTCAAGGTTTTTACATTACAAAAGGATATTGCTCGTGCAATGGGTGAAACACTTCCAGAAGATGTAGAAGAGATGAAGCGGGTGGCAGCACTAATGAATATAATGAAAGGGGTGAGATTTGTACTGATATTAGATGATGTATGGGAAGAGTTTTCCCTCAAGGATGTTGGAATCCCAGAACCAACTGTGCGGAATAGGTGCAAAGTAGTTATCACTAGTAGATCAGCTGAAGTATGCAAACATTTGCGTTGTAAGATTGTTGTTGAAGTGCGGCCTCTTCCACCGAAGGAGTCTCTAGACCTTTTCCTTGATAGGGTTGGACGTGATGATTTAGATTTAGAAGTCGAAGGGTTGGAAGCAATCTTGAATTCTATTGTGGAGAAGTGTGACGGTTTACCACTAGCAATTGTTCTGATAGCAGGGAGCATGAGGGGAATACAGGATATTGAAGAATGGAGAACTATGCTTGATGATTTACAGCAATGTGTAGAAAATGTGGAAGGAGCGGAGGATAAGATATTTCCAAGGCTAAAATTGAGTTATGACCGTCTAAGAAAGCCGGAGATCCAACAATGTTTTTTGTATTGCTCTTTGTTCCGAGAAGATTATGAGTTTTCTAAAAAGGAGTTGATAGAAGGTTGGATTGATGAAGGATTGATTGATAAGCCGGGTAAAAGACAAAAAGCTTATGATAGGGGCCATGGTTTTTTAAATAGACTTGAAAGGAATTACTTGTTAGAGAAAACTGGCAAGTTGCATGGTGCTGATGCTTTTAAGATGCATGATGTACTGAGAGAAATGGCTATCAACTGCATTGGTCCTGGACTTGGATATATGGTAAAAGCTGGTAGGAAATTAACAGAGGTACCAAATGAGAGTGAGTGGGTAAGAGATCTTAAGAAGGTGTCTCTAATGGTCAATTACATTTCAGAAATTCCTGATGGTTTGACTCCAAAGTGTCCGTTGCTGTCAACTTTGATATTGTCAAATAATCCTAATTTGTCAGAGATTCCAAGTTCCTTTTTTGAAGAAATGGTCGGACTTAAGGTTCTTGATCTTTCTGGTACTAGTGTTGAAGCTTTACCTGATTCCATCTCTAACTTGGTGAATCTTTCTGCACTACGGTTGAGGAAGTGCAAGAGGTTAAAGTACTTGCTTTCCTTAGCAAAGCTCAGGGCATTGAAGAAGTTGGATCTGCATAAGGCAGGGATTGAGGTGGTCCCTCAAGGCTTGGAGACGTTGGTAAGTCTTGAATATCTTGATTTATTTTGTCAAAATTTGAAAGAGATTCCAACGGGAATATTACCTAGCCTTTCCAGTCTCCAGTACTTGGTTGTATATCCAAGCAGCGGAATTACTAAAAGGATAAATTTAGAAGAGGTTGCTAGATTGAGCAAGTTGGAGAGTTTGGAATGTGGAATGGAGGGCATACAAGACTTCAACTATCTTGTCAATAAGTCTAAAGATTTTGAAAGTTTTACGGCTTATGAACTTCGACTGACAATGGGTAAACAAGACATCACAGATTATGTAATTTGTTGGTGAATATCCATCTAAGGTTTTAATTTTTGAGTGTGAGATTGGAGAAGAATGTATAGTGCTTCCAGATAAGCTTGAGAATTTATGGATCTATCACTGTAAAAACATAAAAAACATGAGATGCAGCTTAAACAAAGCAGTTTTGTTAGAAAATGCAACCGAGTTGAGAAAATGTTTTATTTGGGATTCTGAAGGTATAGAGTGCATGGTTGAGTTGGACTCATCCTCCTCTTCATTGAGTTGTCCAGTACTGGATAAGCTTGAAGAGTTGTATATTAGGGACTCTCCTAACTTGAGTGCACTTGTGAGAGTGGAAGGAGTAGCAACACCACAGCATGTCTTTTCCAATCTTAAAAGGCTTCATATAGATTCTTGTTCAGGAATGAGGAAGTTGCTTCCACCTGAGCTACTGCAGGCCCTCCAAAATTTAGAGGAGATTTGGGTTAGTGATTGTAAACAAATGGAGGAGATAATAGCATCATCAGATTCAGATGCATCATCTGATATATTCACTTTTCCCAAGTTAAGGAAATTGGAATTGGAATATTTACCCCAATTGAAAAGCATCTGTAGTGGCAAAGGAGTTTGTGATTCTATTGAAAAAATTACAGAACGTCACTGTCGGAAGTTACAGAGGATCCCTTTGCAACTTCTCCTGCTTGATAATGGCCAGCCAGCTCCTCCTCCTCATCTCAAAGAAATCAACATAGTTGAACGGGAGTCAAAAGAATGGTGGGAATCACTGGAGTGGGATCATCCTAATGCTCAGAACATGCTCCAACCTTTCTTGAAATTACATCGGTAAGGTGTTGATTGATTTATTCTAATTTGAATTTGATTGTTTAGTTGCTTAAAAATTCTGTCATCGCATCTACAAGGGGAGTTCTTGAGAAATCTTCAATTTTTCAGATATGATGAGTAAATTAAATATGTCACGTGGGACCCCAGTAACACGTGCCAAAAAATCCCCCTTCCTCCGCTCCACAACGAAAACAATGGAAATGTGCGGCTGGGAATTTGACATGGGGGAAGCCAATGTAGGAGAGCAGGTATTCTGGAATTGATGAGATTGAGATGCATCCACCCTTAACATTCTGCTCTGCTGTCTCATAAACTCCAACTATGTAAGTATCCTTATTTTGACTTATTATTATCATTTTTGAATTTTTCATGTTTTATACT